AGGACTGTGAAGAGAGGAAGATATGGCCGGTGAGCTGGGCTCAGCCTACACACCCTAGATCCTAGCAGCTCCCCTTGGGCCAGGGCACCTGTCTGGACCTCATTTCTTCTCCGAATGGGACTGGCCGCTACTGACCGGCTCTCCTCTCTCAGCTGCCAATCACCGGAGAATGGGTGATGGGCAAGAGGTCACAGGTTGAGGATTTTTCCTTGAACATCCAGGTGTTCGGCTTGTTCATGTGAGGCACTGGGTGTGAGTTACATCCATCCTCATTACTAGAGAAGGGAGCCCCCCCGGGAGGGGGGGCACACTAACCGCATGGGCATAGCGGCCTTGATTCAAAACCCACACAAGAGCCAAAGAGTATGGCTACTCGCTCATTGCTCTTTAAACCTGGTGTCCTTTCTTTTGTGGCCGCCACCCTATCTGATGGCAGAGGCTTCTGTGGTAGAGCAGGTGCAGGGAGTTAAAGGGGCTGGATAGTGTTGGGCCGAGCCCAGAGAAGGGGAGATGAACTTGAATTCTTGAGTCCTCATCAGCCCGGCCTGTATAACGTGGGGCCAGGGAGCTGGGAACAGGCTGTACAGTATGCAGCCAGAGCAATCACAGCACCTGCGTGTGCAAGGCCATTATCCAGAGCAAATGGCCTTGGTGAGAGGGCAAGAGCATCCCGACCCGTCAGTCTTTGGGGCAGGATGCAGCCCTTCTAGGCCTGTGTGTCTCCTGTGGTCCCCTGACCGACAGGCCACCCCTCCCCCCCACCACTGCAGAAGAGCAGCACAGAGCAATGACCAGGGACGCCAGCCGGACGGGATCACTGGTCAGCTTTTCTCCACCCCCTCTCCCCTGCCAGCAGCCGTTTATGAAGCCACCCCTGAGAAGCCCGTCGCGCAAAAATGGAGAGAGTGCAGACCCCAGAGCCTCAGTGGGGCCCTGCCGAAGTCTCTGAACTGGTCCGTGACTCTGTTTCTCCACTGTTAAAGCGGAGATTGCAACAGCACCTTCCTGAAAGGGTCATGGTGACTACTTGAGCTCGGGTACTCAAAGGACTTAGGACAAAGCCTGGCACACACGTAAGCACAAGTCAAGTGAATCTACCATTCAGCCCTTCGGGTGGTACAGGCACCATTAAGGATGGCCTACATGGCATGGTAGGAGATAGACCAGGCAGGGGGCTCAGAGGTGACTTCCGGAAAAGGTCACACCTCTGCAGAACTTTGAGATTAGCAAGAATGATCAAGGTCAAAGGTGTTTCAAGGCAGATGGGAGAAATATGCTAAGGCCCTAAAAAGATAATGTAGGGGGTCAGGAGTCTTGGAGTGGGCCATGATGAGGAAAGTGGAGAAGAGCTGGCTGGATCCCTGGCTTCCCTAAAGCCCCGGAAGCATCCACTTCCTGCCTACATTGCTCTTGGTGCCTGCCTTCTAGACCCTCTCCACCAGGTCCAATGATCTCAACCATCTTTAGGACAGAATTCTCCAACTTCCTCTTCCTCTCCTCCCACCCCTTTTTTCCTCACTTTCTGTGAGGACACAGCTCTGTGCAGAAGGAAATGGCTGTGGGGTTATTCTGGTCTGGGTCTGCAGCCAGGTGCCAGCACTGTCCCGTCTGACTTTGAGTCATGTGGGTTCTTTGAGCCTCATTTCCCTCAACACATCCACTGGTTGGGGGTGGTGTAGGGGTTTATTCATGAAAGCTCCACATACCACAATTTTATCCCATTGGGCTTCAGGAGGACAGTGCCTGGGGATGGTTCACATGTGTACCCTGGAGACTAGCAGTACTTAACGGGACATAATTTTGTGTTCAATAATTAGTGGTTGAAATGTATCAACAGAAATTTATCGTGGGCTGACTGTGCTCAATGCTTGGAGTACAGCCATCTAGGTAGAACAGGTCTCCATCCTCCGAGGCTTGCTTTGGAAAAATGTTAAGGACCCAAGCATTCTCTACCTCTGACACGTCGGATGACCGAGGTAAAAGGATTTGCTTCTGCTACTCTGACAGTTGCCCCTGGTTAGCATTTCCCATGAGCCTCTGCTATGCCTCGCTCATTGTTTCCCATGATCATCTCTTGCTGGATCACGAAACATGGGCCGCAGTCCTTGGCTGCTAGCTCACGGATGTTTCCCACAATCCCTTGCTGCTCGCTTTGTTTTCCCATGATTCCTCACTTTTGACCCGTTGTTTGTTTCCTATGGTCAGTTGCATTTCCCGTGATTTCCTGCAGGTGGTTCTCTGAACATTTCCCAGGATGCCCAGCTACTGGCTCAGCTCTATTTCCTATGGCTACGCCCCGCCCCCTATTGCTGGCTCACTGAGCATTTCCCATAATCCCTGCTGGTTCATCCAGTCTTTCCGAATATGCCCTGCCGCTGGCTAGGTTTCATTTCCCATGATCCCCTTCTCTGGACTCACCCAGCCTTTCTCATGGTGCCCTGCTGCTGGCTTACAGCACAGGCAATAAGGTGATATGTGTGCGAGAGCTGGGAACGGAGGGGGCCAGGTAAACATTTAGAGAAGAAAGCAAGCTAAGGGGAGGGGAGGGAACCAACGGCAAACAGGCTGAGAACCGGTGTAGAACTAACGTTTCATTTTCCGCAACAAGACGCAAAGACCCAATTTAATTAAATTACTAATGTCAAAATTTTAATGAACCTGCTTCTGCTTTGGGCTTTCTTCCTTTGAAATTAATGACTGGAACGTCACTATAAATAAAAGTTGATTCTTTTTAAAAAGTCACTCTCAAATGCTTACTGCTCCTTACTTAATGAGCTGTTCTTAATCAGACTACTCTGAAATGGGTCTCAACTGGGACCAGGCTGTAATGCATGGGGCCCGCTCCTCACGTCACCTTTTTAATCCCAATCTCTGATCCAGAGAGGTCACACAGTGAAAGGAGAGTGAGCTGTCTTGGGGGCTCAGAGAGAGCAGGGGTTCAAAACCAGCTCCTCCACCTCTGGCGGGATGAACCAAACTGCACCCCTGGCCTCTCTTGGTTTCCATTCCTCATTTGGAAACGGGGCAGTTTCTCTCTTCTAAGGGTCATGCTAGCCAGTAGGGCTGATGATGTAACAAAGCGACACTAGGTGCTAACACAGCCAGACTGTCACTGTCATTGCGGCATAGAGGACAGAAAGTCACGGTGAGGAAGCCTTGCCCGGGCAGGTGGGGGGTAGGGACTGTCTTCCCTTCCCCCCAACTTTTTCTAGCTGCTGGCAACCTCTGGAGTTCTTAGTGGGCAGATGTGCCCCTCTAGTTGTCCCTCCTCGCATAATGTCTATGTCATACGTGTCCTGTGCTGGACAGGGTACACCCTTATGACCTCATCATGAAGTCATCTGCAGAGACCATTTCCAAAGGTCACATTTGACCAGATTTTCAGAGACAATTCAATTTGACACGTAATAGGGCTGCCGTGGAGGTTAAAAAATTATTTCTAATACCCACTGAGTGCTAGGCATGCTTCTGGGCCTGTGTAACGAGTTTACTTAATCTAGCAAAGGAACCTATAGGGCATGTGTGTTGTCCCCACTTTACAGACGTCAGTGCTCGGGCAGAAGGTGGAGGCTTGGCCAAGGCCATGCACCCAGCCAATGAAAGAGCCTGGCTGTGAACCAGCTCTTCCCAGCTCTGTTGTTCACCAACAGCTAACATTCTTTCCGACAGAGGCACAAGGTGTCCACATGAGTTCCCTTCCTCCTGCATCCTTCTAGGGATGAGGACTTCAGATATTAGAGGTCATCACCTGAGTGTCTACATTTAGTAATCCGATTTAAAAAAATTCAATGTACCCATCCTATGCATTTGTCCCTAAATAATATCAAGGGTAACGTCTACAGTCTAGTCTTCTGTTGGGTGTCTGATGAAGGTCTTCGGACAGACACAGATTAGACATAAGCCACAAGGCAGTTTTTCTGAGGCACCGGGTTCTCTGATTGGTTTTGTTTTCTCTGAGTTTTCCCGCATAGACATTATAATCGTTCTTGCTCTCCTGTCTAGAAAACTCCCCTTTGATTGCTTACAAAATCACGAGTGGGATATTTACATCCAACACGGCCCAGAGCGGCATTGTTAAAGCCGTGCTTGGCATTGAAGAGTTCTGTTGTAGATTAGCAGCGGGGAATTTTGCCCTTCTACCAAGCCCTGCTCTTGCCAATCAACATAATATGCTCTGTGATTGTGTGACAATGGCTCTCCTCTGTGGTTGGACCACAGCTAGGACTGCATCATGCTAGGTTGTATTTTTAATTTGAGACTTGGGCTCCCATTGCATAATGAAGGACTCCTTGAACTTCTATCCATGCACACCGTCTGTATGTCTTGATGTGTTAACTACCATCAAGTAACCAGACTGGTTTTCATGGCCATGTGAGTGATGCCTTAAAGTGGCAGGAGCTGGGAATGACTGGGGGGGGGGGGTCAAGGAGCTTGTCTCCCCCAAGCCCCCTTTGCATGCAAAGAGAAAAGGACGCTGTGGGAGTGATGTTTGCATCCGGGCTGGGAGGGCCAGGGGCCGGGGTGAAGGAATGGAAGAGATCTGATTACTGGCTTGACGCAGGCCCTTCTGCCTCACCATGGTCCTCATGACCTTCACAAGTCCTGCAATTTAGCCGGGCGTTGGTGGCGCACGCCTTTAATCCCAGCACTCAGGAGGCAGAGCCAGGCGGATCTCTGTGAGTTCGAGGCCAGCCTGGGCTACAAAGTGAGTTCCGGGAAAGGCGCAAAGCTACACAGAGAAACCCTGTCTCAAAAAACCAAAAAAAAAAAAAAAAAAAACAAAAACAAAAACAAAAAAACAAGTCCTGCAATTTTAGCTGTTGGACTTCTGAATGTAACTCATTGCGTACTTACCCATGGCTTCATTCATCTCAGCCCATCTGTTAGATTAGAGATGTCTATATGATACACTGGATATCATCACATATTTATATAAAATTTATAGACTATATATATATGACTTCTTCCTCACTTTTCCCTTTCATTTGCTTTTTTTTTTTTGAGGCAGAGTCTCATGTAGCCCAAGCTGACCTCAGATTGGCTTTGCCACCAAAGATGGTCTTGAGTTCCTGATCCCCTCTGTCTCTACCTCCAAAGTGCTGCCATTATAGGTATGCGACATCAGACCCCAAACTGTAATATATTCCCACATATAATTTAATATGTTTATATAAAATTAACATCAAGTATGAGATGTCATCTGCTGGATCATCTGTTTGACCCAGTCACTGATTAACGGTGTCCCCCTGCATAAAGCACACTCCAACCTGGCATTGGAGGCCTATTTTGTTCTCCACTGGGTTTCATAGAATAAAGCTTGGTGTTTAATAATTCTAGTAAAACTTTACTAAATGGCTTAATGATTTCACCCAGTCTTCCCAACAACCTATGGACTGAAGCATTGTGACTCCTTGTTGAGGTACACATGGTTGCCAGGGAACATGGGGATGCTGACTCAATGCCAAATGTGCAAGGCAGGCCAAAAGGCAGGAGGCAAGGCTGCCCCTATCAGTGCCTGGCCCCTCAGCCTACATTCTTCCCAACTCCACTGGGCTATTCCTGTGCTGACCATTCCGTGTGAAGCTCCAACATGCTGACCGGGGACTCATGCCATCCTCTCAGGAACATCAAGGGTGACAATCCAGCCTATGGACCTGGAGCTTGGTCTTGTTCATCCTGTCAGTCAAACCAAGACAGAGGTGCCGAGGACCCCACAAATTAGTGGGCTTGTCCAGTCCAGCTCCCCTTGACCCATGTCAGATGTAAGTCCTCCACCTCCAGCCTGTTCTTATGACTCGGGCTAGTGATCTTTGCTTTCCTTGGCAGTGGGGTCACAGGTCTCAGACTCTTACAAAACCTGATGCTTGCACCGGGTCCCAAACCCGAACCGTCACTTCAGTTCCAGGAGATAGCAAGACAGGGCTGAGATGGACAGCAAGCTATGACAGCTTCTCCCCTTCATTTTCCAGTCAGCCTGGCTTGAAGGAGTCTCTGGGCTCTGGCCTGTGCAGCAGACCCAGGGCCTTTCCTTCTCAACACAGTTGCCTGACTTTTCTGCCATACCCTATTTTCTGAACATCATACCAGGCCCACCCTTCCGTCCTCATGTGAAATTTTACCATCTCTCCCCGGATCTGTGGGACCAAGCTTCCCCATGACCAGCTTCCCTGCTTCTGACACACTGTCCCCATTGGTGCCTCAGGGAGCACTGGAGAGTACCCCTCCACAGTATGCCAGCAAAGATTGGTCCTCTGGCCTCCTGATGACTCACTAGAGAAAAATATAATGGTTTGGAAGATTAACACGGAGTAAAGGAAAAGAGAGGATCCTTTGACCACTTTTCCTTGCTCTGAGGATAAATCCAAACAGAGGCTCCACCTGTGATCTGGCCCCCTGTAGATATTCCTGCCTTCTTCCCTGCTCCCCATCTTCTTCCCACCATCATCACTATTCTAAAGCACAGGTACCCCAAACACCTCCTTTCTCTCTCCAATTCACCATTTAGCAAACATATACCTCTCAAAACCCCAGGTACATATCACTTCCTCTATGAAACACCAATCGCCACCCTGTGTATCTGAGATTGCTAACCATGATGGTCAGGGTCACCATATCTGGAATCAACTAAAACCTAAGCTGAGCACACATAGGAGGGATTTTCTTGATCGGATAGTTCGAGAGGAAAAGACCCACCTGAAATATGCCCACATAAACGACATGGAAGAAGGAAGCTTCATGCTTTTTGCCTGCTTGCCCTCCTTCTTGTCAACAAGTTTATCTATGCCGCTGCTGAGGCTTCCATGCTGGTATTAGAACTTACTTCTTGGGGATTCTAACATAGCCTGGAGACCAGCAGCTCTCTAAGAATTCCTTGAGGATCCAGCATCAGATTGAGACTGCCGATACATCAAGTCTTGTTGGACTGAACAACTTCCTGATTCTTGGCCTTTCCAATGAGAGACAGCCTTTTATGGACTACCCAGACCACAGTCTATAAGCCATTCTAATAAATCCTTTCATGTGTATGTAGGTATGTACATTTTTTTGTTCTATCAATTCTATTTCTTTAGAGAATGCCGATTAATAAAATGTCTTACCATAAACCACAAAAATCCTTCAAGAGCACATCTTGATAGAATCGAAAACACTGTCCCAATGCTTGATTCTGGTAAGTGACTCCCACAGTCCTGGATTTCCTGGCCCACTAACAAAGCGGGCTTCCCCTGCCATTTAATTCATCTTACACTCACGTAAGTCCACACAGTAGGTGCTTGGAGCTTTTGGAGGCCTTCCGTGGAGTTATATTGGAGTTTTCATTACATTCAATTCCTATATCACTCACTCACTCATTCAAATACTACTGCAGCGCCTGTGAGTTTTCTTTACATGACTCTAGACTCCCTGAGAGGCAGAAGTTGTATCAGTGTTCTTTACACAGCTAGTACATGATTTACTACATGACAAACAAGTATTATTGAGTGAATTAAATATAAATCATTACACATTCTATACATGAGAAAACCAAGTCAGTTGTGTGCATATGTGCGCATGTGTATGTATAAGATATATGTATATTAATATGTATATATTATTTGTGTCTATACATATCTGTGCAACAAACTAGGGCTGGTAGATTGGCAAACTTCTTTTGTAAGGGTCAGCTACAAAATATGACATCTGCTGGCTTGGTTTCCCTGTGGTGTGAAAGCAGCCATTGGCACCTAAGTCAAACCTTATAAGAATAGGCCAGGGGACCCATAGGCTGTGGACACTGCCCCTGAAGGACTGATATTGGCCTGGCCTATGCCTGATCTGGGTTATATGATTATATTCTCACTGCTATTGCTTGGGCTTAGAAACCTCATTCTACTGAACAGCAGAGGATCTAGGGAGCCCAAAAACGGCATCCTAAGAAGTAGGACGGAGGAGCCTCAAGAGCTGCCACCTACTGGATGTTTAATATGACCTGGTGGAGTGCTCAGAGCTTCATCTGGACACTTTTTACACGTGTGTGTGTGTGTGTGTGTGTGTGTGTGTGTGTGCGCGCGCGCGCGCGCATACGCATGGGGGTGTAGATGCTCACATGCCCCAGGGCACATGTGGAGGTCAGAGAACAACTTCATCAGTTCTTTCTCCGTCTACTATGTGGGTTCCAGGTACTGAACTCAGGTCAGCGGGTTTAGTGGCAAGCACCTGTACTGGCTGAGTCATGTCACCAGACCTCATCTGGACACAAATCTCACATAGACAGATACTATAACTGTCCTCTTTCCATAGGCAAGGAGATTGAGGAACCGGGGGTGGGGGTTGGGATGGAGGGTGTTGGACGAGTATAGAGCCCAAGGCCACACTGTAGATCCAGACCAGGGCTTGAACCCTATGCCACTGACCTCAGTGCTACATCCCTTGTCATCCACTGACCTTGACCTTCTGTGACACGCACACACCCTATGCTGCTGCCCACACCAGTGACTCTCTCTTGGGTCACTTCCCCTGGCTCAGTTCAGCAGAGACTTCAAAGGAGTCTGTCACCTGACCAGTGAGGCCACAGAAGGCATCAGAACAGAATCCCCCATGCTTCCTCACACCATGGCCTCCTCCCTGTCACCGCTAACTCTCTGGGGACAGTTTCACCAAGGGAACATCACAGGCCCCAGAACAGAGCTCCCAAATGAAACGAAGGGCAAGCAGTGACCTTTGAATTTCAGACATGAATAGACCCCTTGCACTATTCGAACCACATGTGTGCTGAACATGATGGGATCCATGTAATGCAAATGTACCAGGGCATCTTAGAGTGTAACCTGCCAATCTGGCGACTGTGACCAGAGGGGCGTGGTTTCTCATGCTTCACAAATTTTGATCTCTAGAAGAGCTGGGGCAGTTTCTCTGGGAGAATAAGGAAAATGGACAGGGGAAGAGTCAGAGCCTGGCTCACAAGAGTGCACCATGGGACTAGAAGAACAGACACAGAATGGGAGCTCAGAGCATCCTGGGCTGAACCTGAGGGGAAGGAGTTGAGGCAGGTTTCCATGAAGGCCACCTCCTCCCTCTGGTCACTCCACAGGGAAGCTGAGTTTTTAGTGCTCAGCCTTCCTTCACTCCACATCCTAATCCCAGGGACTGTGAAGTCTGTCCAGGCGTAAAACTCACAAAGAAGTGGGTCATAAGGGGAATTGTGAAATAATGCTAAATGCAAGTCAGTGGCCACACAGGCACTTTGGGCCTCATTTAGTCACTGCAGGGTGGAGCTGAGATGACTAGTATTGACTGTCAACTTGACAGGCTCTAGAATGATCTGTGCACATCTGGGGAGTTCCTAGATTGGCTTCATTTAGGGCAGGAAGACTCACCCTGAATATGGGTGGTTCCATCCCATGGGCCAGAGTGAATAAAGGAGAAGGCGAGTTAAACATCAGCATTCATTACTCGACGCTTCCTGACCAGACGTAATATAGCAGCCATCCAGCTCACACTCCACCGCCATGGCTTCCCTGCCGTGACGGGCTGTATCCCGTTGAACTGTAAGCCCAAACGAACCCTCTCTTCCTAGTGCTTCTCCAGGTATTTGGTCACAGCAATGAGAAAAGAAACTAACGCTGTGACTTAGACATGTTTTTCAAAGGGGTTGAGGGGCCTGGGTGTAGTTCAGTGGTAGCGTGTACTTGCTTAGTGTGAACAAGGCCCTGGCTCTGATTCCAGGCCCAAACATACTTCAAGTGCAGAGTGTACATACATCAGCGGTTGAGAAAAAAAATCCCATGAGTAAACACACAACATGCTAGAAAACTTGGGGAAAGACCACGGAAGCTTCCTCCTATTTAGGAAAGCAGCGCTTGCTGCCGTGTCTGTGAGTTTAGATCAAGCCTGTTTAGCCTGGCTTGCTTTAGAATCTTTCTTCTCCTTTTCCCTCGCTCTCAGTACTACCCATCACGCTCTGCTCTTTTCTCTGGGCCCCCATGGGAGGTGCTGGATCTGGGAGAAGGTCCACCAGCTCCTCTGTGCCAATCAGCAGAACACTAAAGCGACAGTAGCCAGACAGGTTCATCTCTCCACAGGATGCTCCAGGTAATGTGTGTGTTCTCTTCTCCTCTCTCTTCCATTTCCCTTTTTTGTTTTTTGCTTTATTTTTGTTGTTGTTGAGACAAGGTGGCTATGTAGCCTTTAATTCTGATCCACCTGCTTTAGCTTCCCAAGCGCTGGAATTGCAGGCCTGTGTTTTCATGTTGGGCTAACACCCACTTTCTTTTTATAAATAGGGTTCCCTTTGGAGCATGCAGACTGCAAACCTATGCTTCTCTGGGAATAAGGCTCAGATTTCCCAGCTTCCCCTGCTCAGTAACCTTTGGCGTTAGACCAATTCTCGCTAAAGAGGTAAACTTATTACTTCCAGCTTCTGACCATGTATATTCCAGAAGATGGGCATAGGATTGGGTTCTAGCTTTTCACCTGACAACGTATAGCAGGGTATGCTTTCTGTTTGGCTGAGCAGAACAACCCCACGTATCTGGGGAATGAGGCACAGCTATGAGCGGCCCTCACCCTACCCAGCTGCCAATGGAATACCCTCACTTGCAGATCAGCCCTGACTCACCCGGGGAAAGGAGTTGGAAGAGGCTCTGGATCCAGCCAACTGGAGGGCAGTCCTGTCCTGAGCTTGGGACTTATACCTTCCTATGAAGCTGTCCACCCAGTAGGCCATCCTATCCTAAGGGGAGCTGCATGGCTGGGCTGGATTTCTCCTTAAACTCCTTAGGGGGGACCCTGCTCTGGGGCAGGCTCTGCACACCCATCCCCAGAATGAGGTCCTGGTCTCTGGTACACACTCAGCAACAGAGAAGTGCTGTTTAGACCCAACAGAGCGCCCATGTCCATGGAGATGCTCTCCTCACCAAACTGGCCCCTTGGACAACAGAACCCCAGCCCTTATTTCTTCCACCTCTGCTTCCTGTCTGGGGCCCATGCATCCCACTGAATCAAAGGCACAGTACCCCTCAGTGCAAAGAGAAACGAGGCTTCTAAATACCACCATCCACCTGTTCTTTGTACCTCCTTCACAGGACAAGGGTGGTGGCTGCCACACTTACAAATAGGGTGCACTTGGCCCTCATATGCTTTCTGAGAACCGCCATTCTCTTTACTTCTTAATTCTCACTGTTGCTGACTGATCACATCCGTGGACTAACTTTACCCTGAATCCGGCCCTTCTAAACCACGTAACAACACATTAGAGGAGACAAAATCAGAAAGCTTTGCTGGCTCATCTCACACACCCAGGGCACGTGGAGCAGGGTGTGTAAACGCAGTCAGCTGTCCTCATCCACATCTGTGCTGTCATACTGCAGTGGAGAAAGGGCCGAGAGAGGCATGGCTGCCGTTCTCGCTAAGGAATCAGCCTTGAGGCTCAGTGATGGAGCTCCAGGAGCATCTGAGTTTGAGCATCACAATGGAGGAAAAGGCAGGCCTCACTTTTCCTTGCTGGCTGCTTCATTTTTATTCAGTTCCAGAGTTCAGTGGCTTCTGCAAAGGCCTCATGGAGGCCCCATTGCAGTTCCTGAGATCCAGCCCCAGGGTCACAGAGCAGAAGTTAGACGAGGCTCCACCCTGGAGAGGCCCGGTCTATGAAGAACCAACGACGATGTGCATAGCCACTCAGGCATCCTTATGTTCTCACGCCACACACACAGATCCATCCCCAGGGCACCCTCCACTCATTAGTGTGCACACAATTGTGCACGCCGGAAAACAGACAAATGGAGAGGGAGTTCTTTTCTTCAGTGGGGAAGCCACTTGGAAGTCACCTGGGTTACAGTCAAAAGCCCCCCACCTGCGCTCAAACAATTGGCCTTGATTAAACTTAACAAGAATCTCTCTCCCCCCTCTCACCCCTCCCCCCCCCTCTCTCTCTCTCTCTCACACACACACACACACACACACACACACACACACACACACACACACACACACACAGGATTAGTTAGGGAAAAGTGAGAAGGGGATAAGAGAGGGCAATGGGTGTGTGTGAATTCAATCACAGTAGATTATAATCATGTATACAGTTGACAAGAACAGACACATGCAGAATACAGTTGCACACCTGCTCTCCCTAGCCACTGTTTAGTTTCTCTCCAGCCTTTTCAGTATTGGGCTTTTTAATCAAGGGAGGTTGTACTAAGATGTAACGTGTGTGTGTGTGTGTGTGTGTGTGTGTGTGTGTGTGTGTGTGTGTGTGTGTGTGTACATGCATGAGTGTATGTGTGGTTCCATTTGAACCCAGGGGCTTATGCATGTTAAGCAGATGCTACATGGAGCATCACCTGCACCTTGTCTCTTTCATTCACATACCTGATAACAGACCCAAACCATCTCTCTATGCATCCCAAGAATCAACCTGTGTTTCTGTCACAGCACTCACCCTTTCTGCCCAGCCAGCACACTTAATAAGCTTTCCTCACAGGTGTCTCCCCACACAGCCAGAAGAGCCCTAGAAGCCAGTGTGACTGCCCCCATCCTCACAGGCCCATCTGGAATGTGTCTGAGCTCTGGAATAGTCTGAAGATTCACATCAGACCCTAGGACTGCCTCAAGTATCCATGGGCTCAGTCCATGGCCTGTGAGGCCCACGGGAGGTCTGTAGGGGGTTGGGAGGCCATGAATGTCACGGGTCTGAGAATAGCTCTTCCATCCCAAAGACCCGGGCTTGGATTCTGTGCTCTCACTGTCTGTGTCTCAGCGGTTAAGACAGAATGGGAAGCCGAGCACACAGTCCCGTGCAAATCCCAAATCTGTGATGTAAATAGCAAGTCACTGCCTCTCTCCGAATCTCAGCCCTGTCATGATGACACAGGGACACCCCATGCTCAGCTCAGGGAGCTGTGGTGAGGATTAAGCAAGACAGAACAGGCAAAGTGCTTATCTCAGCGCCTGGCACCAAGTAAATGCTCAATAAATTTGGGCTGTGATTACATCTAAGTCCCTGAAGTTCCCTGGGAGATGCCAGGCCTATGCCGGAGGCTGGAGCTGAAACAGAGAGAATGTGGACAGTGGCTGGGGAGAGCAGTTGGCCCCAGGGCTGGAGTGGGCAACTGTCTCTGCCACACTGGTGGCATCGCTTGGATCTTCCATCCTTTCATGGAGCCAGGTGGGGGCCTGCTGGTTGGAGTCTGCAAAGTCTCCTCTGGGCCTCAGAAGAGCAAGCACACAGTCCCATCAACCCCAAGTGACCAGGGAAACAGGAACCAAAAATCACGTCGGGACTTGCAACTCAGGGCTCAGAACCCCCTGCCCTCTGTGGCTGCCCCATGCTGCACAGGCTCTCTGTCAAATGGCTCCCAGCCCTGGGAAGTGTGAGAAGAAACGATGAAGCCATGTTTCCTGGAAGAGGCATTCAATGTGGTCTTGGCAGAGAAGAGCTAGTGTTCCAGGTAGAGCAGCTGGCCCTGACCCAGGAACACAGAAGCCCCGTTCGCACGCTTCTGTTGCCCAGGCCCCTGTCCCAAGGGTCATTGGCTCATTTGTGTTGCAGTCTAGCCCAGGACAAACCATCCTCTTGACTCCAGCCCCTTGCTACCTTCAGGCTCCTCCACGTACATGACCCAAACCATCTCCCACCCTACCCCAGACCCACCTCCTCCTGTGAGCCATAGTGAATCCTGCCTAGTGCTGCTGGATCTGTGAGGCCCAAGGGGCTACATCCAGATGTTTGGGAACCAGAAATCTTTTGAGAAATGTAAAAAACAAACAAACCAACAACAACAAAACTCTTCTTAGGAGTCAGTATCGGGAGGATCTCTGACCCAGGTCTGGCTCCCCCTTCCTTTCGCCCAGCTGGGTAGCCCAGAGCTAAACTCAGAACATTGAGGCCTAATGAGGAACTTGCCTGGAGAACTGACTCTGTTCTCCGAGAGGAATGAATCGATTTCATTGACGTCGTAGCCAGCTAGGATTGTGTAAAAAAAAAAAAATCGTATGAGCTGAGCCTCAGTGCTGGGTGCTTCCTGCAAATGAGCATCTACAGGCCGGAAGCAGAATCCAGCATGGCTGTCTGTCTGTTGGGTGAGGATCCAGAGAGTCCTGCAGTCTCAGTTTCTCAGAGAAGCTGAAGGGATCAAGTCAGATGGTCCAGACTGAACATCCCCAGGATGCTTGGCATGGGCGAGGGGCTGCTGCTGACTCCCGTGTCCCCTCCCCAGCTCTGCAGCACATGTTGGGATCCCGGGTCTACAGATGAGGAAACTAACATCAGCAACAATTAATTATCTGGAATCAAAACCACTGTACACTGCCGTTCTTCCCACAGCCCATGGATACGGATTGCTATGGAGACCGCCAGGCACTGGGCGAGATCTGGTGAGGTATGTGGAAATACTCTTCAGATGGCAGTCCTGTCCGGCGACACGGATGAACCCCAGTCACACAGATTCCCCCAATATAGACAGTCATGGTCAAGGCTGGGGTGAAAGATGAGGTATGCGGGAGCCATACCAAAAGCAACTGAAGGGTCCCGCCGGGGATGCGTGCATGGGGTCTGTCTGTACCATGGAATCCTGTTCAGATTTTAAAGGGGAGGGTATTCCCTCAAGTGTCACAGCACATCAAGGACACCATACTAAGTAAAACAAGCCTGCCACAGGTATTATAAGGTGTAGCTCCCCTGGGGTCCCAGAACTAGCCAGCTCCCAGACACAGGAAGCACAATAGTGGCTGCCTGGGAAGTGGGAACCAGGCCTCCATGGATGCAGTGATGATTGGGAAGAATGGAGATGCTCTGGAGACGGTCAGTGGTAATGGCTGCATGACCATGTAAATGTCCTTAGTGACCCTGAATGGATGCTTTAAAATGGTTAGATTTTGTTATGGGTATTTTACCATGTGGAAAACCAAAACCAAAACTAGTCCTCCAAAGCAGAGAGTAGGCAGTGGTCCCTGATCCCCCCTGCGGATGAGCCCCGCCTCCCTTGGCTCTGGTGAACCTGGCTGCTGTGCCACACCGCCCAGCTCTCCACCTCCTCCACCAGACTCATCTCCAGTTCCAGAATTATTCATCATCAAGGGGTGGCCAGAGCTGGAATGCCAATTAAGAGCTCAGCTTGACTCTGTTTTGTCTTAGTCTCCCCCATGAGGTGCTGCCTGAGGAGGGCAGGGCAGGAGTGTGCCCAGCTTTGCTGTGACTTGTCAGGCAAAAGCAGTGTCAGCTTCTGCACAGGAGGCCGAGTGTGGCGCACCCTGGGGCCTGGGCAAAGGATGCTCACTCCAGGAAATATTTACTCAGTATCCCTTTAAATGGGCCCCAAGAGCAGAATACTAAGGAGCCCACACCTTCCTACCTTTCTAGTTAATCTCCCCATTTAACCTGGGTGTTAGGAGAAAGGCAACAAAGCTTGGAAACAAATAGGCCAAGCTTGAAACCTCTACACTCCACTCTACAGTATTGCATGAGCCTCTGGCTGTCACATGGCCTCAATCTTTTCGTCTGTATAATGGGCACAATGGAAGCACCTGTGCTATAGGTCAGAGTTCAAACCAATAAAACATTATGTAGAGGGGGGCTGAGGAGATGGCTCCGTGGGTAAGAGTACTTGCAACATAAGCATGAGGTTGCATTCCTGAGTTTGGATTCCCAGCCCTCACACAAAAAGCTGGGCATGGCCACATGTGTTTCTGAAATCCCCGTGCTGTGGGGGACGGGGGCAGTTGGATAACTAGGGCTTGCCGCCCCAGGTTCAGGGACAGACCCTGTCTCAAGGGAATACGGCAGAGAATAAGCAAGACACTTGATGCCCTACTTTCTCTTCAGCATGCACACGGGCATGTTTACCTGGGCACATGGGTGCGCACACACACACACACACACACACACACACACACACACACACAGGTGAGCGTATGGGCTCACACAGAGAGATGCAAAACATGCATAGGGTTTGACACACATCAGTGTGGAACTGACGGTGTCTTGTCGACGTCACCACCAGCAGCAGCACCTGTCTTTGTTTTCACTGTGAACAAGCACCCGGCTAAGCAACTGAAAGGGAGATTCATTGTGTTGGCTCACAGTTTGAGGGGATAACAGTCCTATCCTGGCAGGGAACGAGTGGAGGAGGAGGGCAGGTCTACGTTGGTGGTGGTGGGACTGGTCTCTGTCTTATGCCTCCTCAAAAACAGAATGTGGATGGTACAGGAAGTGTGGCTGGGCTATTGGTTTCAAGCGCCCTCTCCCAAAGCGATGCACTTCCTTCAGTAGGTCTCCACCTCCTAGAGGGTTTCAGCGGCGCTACCATCCAGGATCTGTTGTTCAAATCTTAGATGGTCTTTTAATTAAAAACCCAGAGCCAGATATCAGGGTGAAAGATCAGAGAAGCAGAGCAGCCAGCCACTAGTTCTTACCTCTATGAAATCCTCAGCCTAAAGAGAGTGAGTTCCTGTTTCCTCACGCCTGATGTACCTTTCTGTGTCCTGCCATATGTACTTCCTGGGATTAAAGGCATGTGTCCTTCCCAAGCAAAGACGTGAGATCTCAAGTGCTGGGATTAAAGGTGTGTGCCACCACTGCCTGGCTCTGGCTCTGTTCCCAGTGTGGCCTTGAACTCACAGAGATCCAGATGGATCTCTGCCTCCCATAGGATCAAGGGTGTGTGCCACCACTGTCCGGCCTCCATGTCTAATCTAGTGGCTGGCTCTGTCCTCTGATCCTCTGGCAAGCTTTACTGGGATACACAATATGTCACCACAGTCTCACACATGGAAGTGCTGGCATTTACTCACTTCTTTTTGTCACTCTCTGGAGGACAGTTGGATAACTGGCTGGCACCAGACCGGGCACATAAGGTGGGGTAGGGATTGGCGGGAGGGAGGAGTATTGATGCTCATGTTGGGGCCCTACGGCACTGTATGGTTCGCACTGCTCCCTACCCAGTGCTGGTGTCATGGCTGTGCGCTCATTTGGGCTGGGGCCCCGTGATTTTGGAAGTGGGGTGTTGGGGCAGTCAAATATACCAGGCCTGACTCAAACCTAGCTTGGCCTCTTCCAACACAAGGGCCATGACTTATGTTGTTTATTTATAGTAAAATACCTATCAGAGAAGACTTCATCTTGACCACTTCGGTGCTCAGGTCCGCGGTGTTGACTATGTGTAGGTGACGCCCATTCACACGGCAGCTGCTCTGTTTTCTTGCCCCAGCTGGGGCGCCCATCCACCCTTCTGCTTTCTCTTTCTCTTCGAGCACCTCCTAGGGGTGAAGTCACATAGCATTTGTCCTCTTGAGGGTAGCTCTGAGGTTGACCCACGTTGTGGCGGCAGGTATCCGGCCACCTCAAGTCACCTTTAAGCTGTGCAGTGTGGGTAAGAGTCCAGCTCAGATGGATTCTCCAATCCCCTTGCTGCTCACACTAAATGGAGGAGGGTAGACAGGATTCGTGGACCCTGGAGTGGTACCTTGAGTGGCACCCGTGGGCTGGGCCAAGAAGAGCTGGCGGGGCCACCACTCTGTTATCCCCACCCCAATGACATTCCTAAGCTGAGAATAGTCCAGAAGCCTCTCTTTACCCTGGCAAAACCCAAGCCATTGGACCACCTGGTTGGCCATACATACATCTCTCTGACTCCTGGTGGCCCAGGTTCCCACACACTTAGTCTGTGGAGATGTGTGTACCAGAAACCCCAACCATGCCTGCTATCAAGCTTCTCCCAGCAGCCAGCGAGACTGGAAAAGCTACTTTAAACATGTCTCCTCCCTGCCAGTATCCCCCTGAAAGCTTTTCTTGTGTCCTTTCCAATAAACCTGTCATCCTCACCCATACCTACAGAGGCTTCTTGGCCAACCTCTCTGGGTGCTATGGTCTTTTCTTACCTTGTTCCACCCACAGGGGGATTCCTTTATCCTGCTCCTCAGACTCCTGCAATCAGTTCCTCAGGGACTGTGTATGTTAGCTGTAACTGTCAACTTGACATAGCCCAGAGTCATCTGGAAAGAGGGACTTCAATTAAGGATCTGCCCAGTTGAGCAAAGCAGCCTGTAGCCATGTCTGTGATTATCTTGACTGATGGTGGATGTGGGAGGGGCCCAGCCCACTGTGGGTGGTACCATTCCCTAAGCAGGTAGGTATATAAGAAATCGTATATAAGTAGTATATAAGAAAGCTAGTTGATACTGAACCTCTGTGTTTTCTACTTCAGTTCCTGCCCTGACTTCCTTCAGTGACGGAAGTGATTGTGACCAGGAAGTGTAAGCTAATGCAAACCCTTTCCAACCCTAAGTTCCTTTTGGTCACAGTGTCCTTTGCCAGTGACACAAAATAAACTAGAGGAGGGACTCTGCACTGGTTGTAGGTTGTCCTCGGTACAAACTTGTGCTCGGATGTCTAGAGCCACCCCATGCTACACACATGGAAAAGCTACACACATGTAAAAGGCCTGCGGTCTTCTGCAGAGGGTGTTTCTGTTTTAATTATTCACCCAGCACTTTCCACAGCTCGCTATTTCCCCTGCTTTGAGCCAGTCTTCATCCAGACTGTGAGGTTCACACGGGCAGGGACTTCACCTGTGCTTCACCTGTGCTCCGGAGCGACCGCTCACTGAGCACTTGTGGGATGACGTGACAGACGGGTGAAAATGAGACAGAATGCGGGCAAAGCACTTTGCATGGGGTCTGGCACTAAGGCCCACTAGATGGCAGTCACAGTGATCATCTTGTCCTCCTTTGTCACCCTGGACTTCCTCCAGCCTCAGCCATCTGCAAGGCCAGTCCTGAGGTTAAGACAAGAGGCAAAATCATTAGTGTCCCAGACTGTGTGTGTCCTGATGGGAGCTGGAATCCATTAAGGGAGTCTCACGGCTGAGTATATCTGAGATTAACTTCCGAGGGCCCACACGGTCTTACCCCACCCACCGTGGGGCTGAGGCTCCAAGGCTGCTGCTGTGAGAGGCCTGGGGAAGGCAGGGCAGGGAAGGGCAAGGGTTCTAGAAGGAAGACCGAAGCTGGAGACAGAGGCAGCAGCTGACAGCAGGTTGTCTGAAGACGGACAGCATCACCGCCATCTTAACCTGACTGGCTCTGATCCGGTTCTGTGCAGCGAGGACACAGAGCAGACCCGGGATCCTGCCAATGAGAGCATCCACTTACCAACGGGCCTTCAGCTCTCCTGGCACGCGCCCGCTGTCAGACCTTTTAACTCAGCCACAGTGTACGCGTGTGTTTGCACGGCTGCTCTGCGCCTGCAGACGCCACCCCGCAAAAATAATCAAACAGCTCTTTAAGTGATGCTCCATGCAGGGTTTCCATGGCAACGCTTTATGAAACAGCAGTGAGAACTTCGGTGGGCTCCTCTCGCCTCCCCTCCCCTCCCTGCCACAGAAATCCTCACTGGAAGAGGCTTTCAGCAAGGGCCTGGGTCAGCTGGACTGTGGGACCTTCAGCTTATATACCCTCCCCCTGCCTCAGTTTCCTCCCTTATAAGATGAAGGTGCTAACTGTGTCTATCTAGGATTGTTCTGAGGGTTAAACGTATGGGCGTATGTTGTTGGTGTGGTGGGTAGAATTCTAAGATGGCTTCCAAGAATCCCAGCCTTGGGTCCCACCTCTCACACCCCTCCTTCTGGGTATGGTGGCAGCCATTATTATGATGGGATGCTTCTCTCATGATTAGGCAAAGATATATGGCAAAGGGGAAGGAACCTTTGCACATGTCATTCAAGCCCCCTCCTTCTGGTTGGTGACTCTGAAGGAAAGGAAAACGAAGCTGTCCCCCATGGGCCTGACCCAATCTAGCTGAGCCCCAAGGGATCAGAGGTCAGCCATCAGAAGGGATCAAGGACTCTGCTGACCTTGAAGAAGCAAGTTCCATAGATTCAAAACCGAACCTTTTCCACAGTCCTCTGACCTGGAGAGAGGACGCTCTCCCCAGAACCTCCTGACAAGACCCTAGCCCCAGCAACACTTGAGGATTCTTGGTTTATGAAATCTTCAAAAGAGAACCCAGCCGAGCCAGCCGAAACTTCCAACTTGGGGAAGCCTGCGGCTATTTGCTTATGCAGGCCAGGGAGTATTTGTTACAAAGCAGTAGGAAGCTGATACACTTAGTATGGATTGCACGTTCATTCTAGAGGCTATCACACCTCCTGCCACAGGCCCTTAACCCCACGCTGCATGGGAGCTGCCCATCTGCCTCAACTCTCCCGTTGTCCTATGACCTTCTGACACAGGCACCCAGTGAAAGTGAGTCACAGCTTCACGTTCAGGATGACCCGGGTGTCAGATAGTGTGCGCTCAGGGTCAAAGTCACGGTAAAACAGAGTCTGTAAATGATGTCTCCTTGACCTTATGGCATTGTTGGCTTAATTGACAATGGAAGGGACCACAGGAGCCCTTCGTTCCACAAAGGTAAGATGTGCACACCCCACTCCTTCTCAGTCTTGAGTGCAGCACCAGGCAATCTACTCCTTAGAAATGATCCACTGTCTTCCTTCCCATCGCCGAAGCCCTCCCCAACACGCCAGGGGTGCCCTTCATGCTCCAGGCCCTGCTCCTCTTATACTTCTCTGACCAGCTGAGTCCTGGTTTCCTTGGGATGTAACCAGGTCTAGTACCACAGGTCCCACATCCTGGGAAACCAAAGCAGTTAACCTTGGTGGCCCCTTCCCCTCCTCTGGATGTCATTGACTCCCTCTGTGAGAGCTTTCAGGGGCTCTACCTCTCAGTCCTCCCACATTCCATGTTGGCTCTGGCTCTGTGGTATCTAAATGCTCAATGGCTCACAGCCCTTGGCTTTTTGCTCTAGCGTCAGCTCCTTCAGGAAGCCCTCCAGAACTGCCAGTGATGCGGCTCACAGCTCTCTGTGCCTCACCCTACTTGTTTCTGCACAGCACCATCCTCATCAAAATCATATGAGTATTTGGCTGCCCCCGTCCCCTGGTGGTCTGTGTCCCAGAAGTCAACTCATGTAGGCGGTGACTTCATCACTGCATGCTGGGTTCTAGTGATGTGGACAGATGTCAAATCAATGAACCAAGCTCTGCCTGCTGATTTGACTTTCTTCTTCTTTCTAAATTCCACTCCCCACTAACAGAGCCCCCTGGGTCTCAGTTGGGCTGTGGAGGTTGCTCTGCCTACCCCGACCCCTGGTCCACTTAGATCATACCTGGTGCTCCCAGGGTCATGCATTCTATCTGTCCTTCTCTGCTCAGGTTGTGGCCCTACCCCAGTCATTCTCCTACCACGATCAGGCCAGGAATCCCCAAAGGCCAACCTTTCAGTGGGTCTTCAGTATTGGAAACGATCTCTTCTCTGTCGGAGGTTTGAGAAATTTCTGCCTGTTTCCGGCTCCCCTCAATTATTCAGTACATAAGATCCTCCAGTGCTGGACTCAGGTGGATATTATCCGAGTGCTAGCTCAGAATTGGTTCTCCTTAATCCTGCAGGAATTTATGCTAGAATTGTGTGAAGTAGCCCGAGGCCAGAGACATGGGGCGGGGTGGAGGTCGTGGGGGGAGGGCAGGCAGACACTGGTCCTGCCCTCCAGGGGCTCAAGGTATGGATAGGCAAACCGGAGGGTATGATGGAAGTGGCTGGAGGCTGGTGGGAACACTAGGTAGGAAGGAGTGGGGGCCTTTTCTCATGCAGATGTCTTAGCCACCAGACTGGGCTGGGCAGTCAGCAGCCTCAACCTCCCTGAACAGGGCCCCTCTGAGGAGAGCCTGGCGCTTCCTTCTGCATAGCAGAATCAGCGCGTAGGATGTCTGGGAAGCACCCACTGACTGTGGAGATGCAGGCTTTACAGTGACTCTAGAACTGATGAGTCTTGGGAGGCAGCGATCCCCAGGAGGATACCCACAGCAGGCTGAGGTTTCTCATACCTGTCCTTAGCTGCTCCATGTTTGGGCCCAGATGATCTTTGAGCAGGACCGTTTCTGTCTCCTGCCCTTCTTTCCCATTAGGTGCCAGCACTGGGCCCAGAACTAAACACTGTCTCTATGCAACAGAGAGCAATATCCTTCCCCTGCATCCCCCACTCACCAGCTGGACTCTTAAAGACTGAGGATCAGAAGTGTGGCCGAAACAGCTCAGTTGGGAGAGCGTTAGACTGAAGACTGAGGATCAGAGCTCTATAGGTCAAGGGTCACCCTGTCCAGTCTTATCTCCTGTGTCAGCCCCTGCTGAGGTGTCAGAGGATTCCAGGCTTTCAGCTGGTGTGCTAGGCACCCTTCTGAGAGTCGGCTGCCTCCTCCAGCCTTGTCCCCACCCTTCCCAACTGTTACAGGCGTCCCATTAAGCCATGAATGGCTGTCTGGGTGGGCTCCCTACCAGCCTAGTGTGCTCTGTCCCACTGGGAATGCAATGGATGCCAGTGTCTCTGTGACAGGTTAGAAGGGGGTGGCAACGTCACAGAGAGATTCTAAGCCCAGTTCTGGAGTCAGACAGACCCAGACATTTACTTTGGCCGTATGACTTTAAGAAATACACCGCTCCTCTCTGATGATCCTCAGGGGCCTCATTTTCGCAGGTGTCTGGAGAACTGAATGATGTGGGTAACATAACCAACACCACAGATCCTAGTGTGGGCTCTGTAAAGGGGCCTGTAGCTGTTGAGGGTGGATGGAACAGACATCATCCCAGCAAGTTCCAGTGGTCTGAGCCAGAGAGGAGAAGGCAGAGGCTCCTTTGTTCAGGACTCCCACTGCAAAGCCAGGCAGCCTGGCTTACAACAGAGAGTTCCCCTGCGTGCTTCCTTCCCTCTTTGCAGGCTTCATCTAGATTTAATGAGGGTGAGAGGATCCGCCTGGGAGCAGCCCCTGGGGAGGAGAAGCGGGCTTTGTGTGGAGGCAGTATTGCTATTTGAGGGGGTTTGCTCTCTTACCCAGAAGGCTTTGGGGTTCTGGAAGTCATATCAAAATTTAATAGGGAAACTCGCGGTTCAGTCTGCACAAACCCACCGTCTCTACAGGATCCGGACATCGCATGCAGCCTGGGTTTCCAGAGGGGGTTTTAATGAGATTAACTTGACTTGCAAATATACAGCCGAAGTGGATGTAACACCACCTCTCTGTTCAAAGCCTTGAAGCTTCTCCTAGCAACTTCCTGGGAATTCTTAAGTCCTTGTCAAGACCCGCTGGGGCCCCTTAAACTGCCCCTTCTCTTTCCTCTTGTCATCCATCTCATAAGGTTCTTGCCCTCAGGACTTTCGCATGTGATCTGTCTCTTCTCAGATCAAGGAGATTCACTCCTTCATCTCCTTCAGGCATTACTCAAATGTCAGCTCCTCTGGGGGTTCTTTCCAGGTCCCTCCCTTGGGCTCAGCACCACAAGCCCTGGCCCTCACCTCCATGTCGCTGTCCATTTTTCTTCATGGAATTTCCAAGCATCTAACACATCCCAGGGGACATCTAACCACATCACTTATTTTTATCTAGAAGATTCCATAAGAAAGAGGGAGTCTGTTTCACTTATTTTGACCCTTAGTGCTTGGGGGTATACCAGGCATCTGTTTGGCCCTCAGTAAATAGCTGGTTTGTGCATGAAAGAGTTTGAAAGAGAGAAGGCCCCTCCCCTGCCCAAGAGCAGATGCTGCCATGGAAGGAAGAGAGGCTGGGCGATGTTTCCTCCTCTTGGTCTACTAAATAAGATATTAGCCCCTTTTTCTGGAGACCTGGTCTTTGACTGGCCTGTGGGCAGGCTGGCCACTGTGAGACCTTGAACTCCACCTGTCTCCTGCTCCTCAGTGCTGGGATTACATGCCCACATCACCAGGCCTGTGTTTTTATGTGGGTTCTGGGGCCCAGCCTCCAGTCCTCATGCTTTGAAGGCGAGCACGTTCCTGGCTCATCTGTCTCCCCAGCCCAGCCTGGCCACTTCTGCTCTGACAGCCCAATGGAGCCTTCCCAGGTACTACGGCCTGGCTCCATTCCTAAACACTGATTTATTTGGTCTGGTACGAGGTCTAAGCACAGAAATATTTTTCTTCCTTTTATAATTTCCTTGGAGTTATAATTTCACACAAGAAACCATACATACTGTAGGTGTATGCTGATAAATTTTTGTATCCGATGTACAGACAACACAAATCTGCCTTCCCTCTTAATTAGTTTGCAACTGCTAGAATTTTAATTTCACACAAATGGAAACATATACTATTGTGATGGTTTGAAAAAGAATGGCCCCCATAAGCTCATAAATTTGAGTGCATAGTGACCAGGGCGGGGCACCATTTTAAAAGGTTAGAAGGATTAGGAGGTGTGGCC